TGTGATGGAAACTGTGTAAATACAACTATGGCGACAAATGCCGCGAGGCAGGGTTCACGAGATAGGAAGGGTTTATCTTATCAGTTATTAATTAGGGCTTCACTTTAAATTCCAAAAAGAACTGGTTCGGAGTTCCAGTGATTACTGACAGAATTTCATCCCTACTCTCCAATAACCCATTTAGTTTTCAAGAATGGGCATCGATTTATAGTTTTACTAAATACATTTTCTACATCTAATAATTAACCGATTTAAAACAAAATTGGAATACGAGTGTCCATTTAAAAAAATCTGCCACTTAATTCATGTCAAAATTACTTCTTTATTATTTATTAAAAATAGCAATAATTAAACTTTTATTGTGTATAATCATTTACCTAAATAGTTTCACTGACACTGATGTATAAGGAAGTAACTTAATCCATGAAGTATTTGCAACTCTTTAACCAGTTTTCTCAAAGCCAATGAATAGTGGCGAGAATATGGTTCAAGTTTTCAGTGATGATACGAGACGCGGAGAAGGTCCGTACTTTTGGTCATATATTATGCAATATTAGGACTACAAATTCATGAAAAGTACGCTCAGTTCATCATCTATAATTGTCTAGCTCATTGCCTTGAACCTGCTTGTTGAGGAGAGTTTCAACTTTAGAACAGGATATAGAATCCACTGGGTAAAATGTGTAACATAACATGCACTCAAACATACTGCAGTTGAGAAAGGTAATGGGTTATTCTCATTGGGGATGATTTACTAAGAGCCAAGAAAATGCAGTTAAAACCAAGGAGGATTTTTCAAGTGGTAACAGTAAAGTCTACAGGTCAGCATCTTCTTCCCTGCCCACATCTGCAAAATCATAATTGGTGTTGACATTTTCTGGGTACAACTTCTGGTCCTGTGGAAATTCTGTGTATTGCAAAGTTTTATCGAGAAAAAATAAACTAGTTTTAATTATGAAAAGACTTGTATCGCCCAAGTTTCTCGGAAAGAATTTATACTGGAAATTAACAAACAAGTAGATACCCAACAAATTGGTGTCAGAAGTGGGATGGAAAATAAAAAATAAAAAAAAGAAGAAGAAGATGGAAACGAGAGGTGGCAAATCAAACTACAGCTTAGCAGATTTGATGGCAGCAATACAAGAACAGCAAAAGAAACAAGAAGAACGAGAACATAAACAAGAAAAGAGACAACAGAAGTGGCAAGAAAA